AGAGTAAGATACATAAACACCTGCAGAGTAGCCACAATTCTGCATCGGCAGCAAGGTACCCCACTAAGAAGATGGATATTGACAACCATGACACAAGATCTCTCTTCACGGACTACTCCTGGATCCATTCATTTTGTGCTGCTGGGCGGTAGCTGCTGCCTATACAACTACTCCTTGAGAAGAGTTGTGATGTTCCTGTTGCTGGATATCATCCACCACCTCCCTAGCACCCAGATCCGGCTGATGTTTGCATCATGCAACTGCCTATCTCTAAGCATCTCTGCAGTCAAGACACCCTCAGCAATCATGCTGAAACAAGCATGGCACTAGCAGAGGGAGGCACATGTGCAGTGTATTTCACAGATGGTTCTGTCGACCCTGACAGGAAGAGAGCAGCAGCTGGACTGTACCACAATGGTCACACACAAGGCTTATGACTCCCTGACCACTGCACGATCCTTCAAGCTAAGCTGGTGGCGATTCATCAGGCATTGTCACATGCCCTACGACATTGACTCCGACCTGTCATACACGTTGACTCCACCTCTGCAATCAGTGCCCTCTCCCATCCTCAACCACAGGACAATGTTCACCTCATCACATCGATCCTGAGCATAATGACAGCCTAGAGGTTCAGGGTAACAGATCGACATTGAACTGGATCCCCAGCCATGCTGGCATCCGGGGAAATGAGGCGGCAGATGATGCAGCCAAGGCAGCCACAGAGTATCCACATGTTGGGATTACTGTCCCCATCAGCCTACGACAGACCAAACTAATGGCTGCCAGAACAATGAAACTTATGGAAGAGGTCTTAGGTGATACCCCATTTCAACAGTGGTACCGAACAGTGACTCAGGGAGAACCCCCTCCACATGATAGAAGCTGGTCCAGAGCGCAGTGTACCGCCATCCATCGGCTTCGTTTGGGTTTTCCCACAGCCAAGATGATGGTAGATAAGGCTGAGGAGATGTGCCAGTACTGCCAGCAAGTTGTCCAGTGCCCCCTAACACACTATCTTCTGGAGTGCAAAGTTACTGAGACACTCTGCAGGCAACTAGGACTGATATTCCCTCCTGAAGAGGACCCAGAGATGACTGTGGCCACGCTAGTGTACCATGGAGTCAATGAACCAAGCAAGCTGTTGCCCATGATAACGACATATCCTCCTCCTCACTAGTGTCCACAGTTAGGAGTACATACGGTGTTGTCGATTATGAGATGCACCAGATGAACTGACCAGAAGAGTGCTTGAGCAGCATATGTCGCATCATTGTAGAACCCTTTCTCCCTCGGGAGCCAGAGATGGGTCATCGCAAGATTGAGACCCATGCCAGGACTATGGTCTTGGCGAACATTATACATGCATTCCTTTTTGTTAGTGTGACTTTGTAAACGTCGTCGTAAGCTCCTCTCTTTGTGTATAAGTAATGTACAATGGCATCAAAAACTAGTAGTGTGTGGAACTATTTCCTGCAACAATCAAATGACGTGGCGCAGTGTCTTTTGTGCAAAAAAGATTATTCACTGAAGGGGTATGGAACTACATCTTTGAAGAACCATTTAAAATCAATGCATAAATAACGGTTTGAAGAATTAGAAGCAGAAGAAAATGGCAGTCAAAGGAAAAACCATAGACGAGAAAGACTCCTTTGCAAAAAGTAAAGGCAGACTTAAAGCAAAGGAATGTGGGAGAATATTTCCAGACTGCAAAACTGTGGGATGCTTCTAACCCTATATCAAAGGAACTGGATAAATGTGTCACAGAAATGCTAGTTATGGATGATTTACCCTTCAGCCATGTTGAGGACATTGGATTCACGAGACTGATGGCTGAAGCTGCTCCACAATACAGGATAAAGCAGCAAAACGTTTATTCCTCATTGATATGCAATGATATGCACGAGTAAAAAAACAAAATCTGGTGTTTTATAACTACCTTGCAAAATCTGCATCGGCACGGATGTCAAGTTGTGACATCCACAATCCGCATCCACATCCACATCCACATTTTAGTATAAGCAGATATCCGCATCAGCAGAATAAGTAAGCAAGACATCCTAATACACATCCGCATCCGCGGATATCTAAATTTTTACATCCGATGCATCCGTAATACTTACAACCGAGGAAGAAGTGAAGAGGTTGCTGAGTGAGCTACACACCTCAAAGGCGATGGGGCCAGATAACATCTCTCCGTGTGTCTTGAGAGAGGGTGCATAAGTGCTATGTGTACCCCTAACAACAATATTCAACACATCTATCGAAACAGGGAGATTACCTGAGGTATGGAAGACAGCAAATGTAGTCCCAATTTTTAAAAAAAGGAAACAGACAAGAAGCACTAAACTATAGACCAGTGTCACTGACATGTATAGTATGCAAAGTCATGGAGAAGGTTATCAGGAGAAGAGTGGTAGAACACCTAGAAAGAAATGAGCTTAACAACAGTCAACACGGTTTCAGTGACGGGCAGTCCTGTGTCACAAACCTACTGGAGTTCTATGACAGGGTGACAGCAGTAAGACGAGAGAGACGGGTGGGTAGACTGCATTTTCTTGGACTGTAAGAAGGCATTTGACACAGTTCCACACACTGTTATCCCAGGCAGGGATAACAGAGAAGGAGCTACAGTGGATCAGGGAATACCTGTCAGGAAGACAACAGCGAGTCATGGTGAGGTGTCAGAGTGGGCACCTGTAACGAGTGGGGTTCTGCCTACAGCAGTGTTCCTCCTTTCTTATGTTCTTACATGGGTCAGTCTTAGGACTGGTGCTGTTTCTGGTATTTGTGAACGACATGACAGAAGGAATAGACTCCAAAGTGTCCCTGTTTACAGATGATGTGAAGTTGATGCGAAAAATTCAATCGGATGAGGACCAAGCAGAATTAAAAAAGGATCTGGAGAGGCTGTAGGCATGATCCAGCAACTGGCTCCTGGAGTTCAACCCCACCAAATGCAAAGTCATGAAGATTGGGGAAGGGCAAAGAAGACCACAGACGGAGTACAGTCTAGGGGGCCAGAGACTTCAAGCCTCACTCAAGCAAAAGAATTTTGGGGTGAGTATAACACCGGGCACATCTCCGGAGGTGCACATCAACCAAGTAACTGCTGCAACATGCAGGCGCCTAGCAGACCTAAGAACAGCATTCCTTCATCTTAATAAGGACTCGTTCAGGACCCTGTATACTGTGTACGTCAGGCCCATATTGGAGTATGCAGCATTAGTTTGGAACCCACATCTAGCTAAGCATGTAAGGAAGCTAGAGAAAGTGCAAAGATTTGCAACAAGGCTAGTCCCGGAGCTAAGGGATATATCCTACTAGGAAAGATTAAGGGAGATCGACCTGACGACACTGGAGGACAGGAGAGGTAGGGGGGATATGATAACTTATAAAATACTGAGAGGAATCGACAAGGTAGACAGGGGTCACAGTTGGAAGTTGAAGACTCAGATGAATCACAGGGACGTTAGGAAGTATTTCTTCAGTCAGAGTTATCAGGAAGTGGAATAGTCAGGGAAATGATGTAGTGGATGCAGGATCCATACATAGCTTTAAGAAGAGGTATGATAACGCTCATGGAGAAGGAAGAGTGACCCAGTAACGGTCAGTGAAGAGGCGGGGCCAGGAGCTATGAATTGATCCCTGCAGCCACAAATAGTTGAGTACATGCACGCACGCATATACAACAGGCCTAGTGTCTAAACGACATGTGCCTGGGACAAAATGCTAACTGTGTAGTGTGTATCACTTAATGTATATACACTGTATCAATGTATATACACATGTGTATCATTCATTGTATATACACTGTGTAGTATCAGTGTATATACAATGTAATATGTATCACTCAGTATATATACACTGTGCAAAGGATTTCACTCATTGTATGCACACTGCATAGTATCTAAATGCATGTACACTGAGTGTATATCTGTGTATATACACTCAGTGTCTCAGTGTATATGGACTTATTGTATATCTCAGTGTATATATAATGAGTGTATATCTTAGTGCATATACACTGAGTGTATATGTACTGAGACATACACTGTATATACAATGAGTATATCTCAGTGTATTCTCACTGAGATATATAGAGTGTATATCTCAGTGTATATACATTGAGTGTATGTCTCAGTTATATACACTGTATATCTCAGTGTATATACACAATATCTCAGTGTATATACACTGTATATCTCAGTGTATATACACTGTATATCTCAGTGTATATACACTGTATATCTCAGTGTATATACACTGTATATCTCAGTGTATATACACTGTATATCTCAGTGTATATACACAATATCTCAGTGTATATACACTATATCTCAGTGTATATACACAATATCTCAGTGTATATACACTGTATATCTCAGTGTATATACACTGTATATCTCAGTGTATATACACTGTGTATCTCATTGTGCATACAATGTGTGTATACATCTGTCTATATAAACTGAATGTATATCTCATTGTATATACACTAAGTGTTTATCTCTATGTACATTAAGTGCAAATCTCAATGTATATACAATGAGTAGCCTGGTGGTTAACGCTCTCGCTTCACACGGCGAGGGCCTGGGTTCGATTCCCAGCCAGAGTAGAAACATTGGACGTGTTTCTTTCAACCTGTTGTCTATGTTCCCCATCAGTAAAATGGGTACCTGGGTGTTAGTCGACTGGTGTGGGTTGCATCCTGGGACACTGACCTAAGGAGGCCTGGTCACAGACCGGGCCGCGGGGGCGTTGACCCCCGGAACTCTCTCCAGGTCCAGGTACCTATCTCAGTGTAAAATATGCTAAGTGGTAAATAGAGTTCTGATAATATAATCGACTGATAAGACAGTGATTAGATGATTGTATTGTGTATTATTATTATGATAATTGTCTATTTATGTTAGTTAATATTATTATTAGTATTATCTCGTTATTATTATAATTTTTATTAATTTTATTATTATTATTATTAGTATTATTATTCTTCTTCCAGGCTTCAAGAACAACAACAGTGGTGGTTGATGCAGCAGCACAACAACAGTCAAGATGATCAACAAGAATTTATTGCCTCTCAAGATTCACTTCTTTCTATTCTGGGCAGGTGAGATATCTCACTTTCTTCTATATATCTCTCACAAACTCTTCTTCTCTCACTTATCCTCACACTCTTCCTCTCACTCTTCCTCTCACTCTTCACCTCTCTCTTCACCTCTCTCTTCACCTCTCTCTTCACCTCTCTCTTCACCTCTCTCTTCACCTCTCTCTTCACCTCTCTCTTCACCTCTCTCTTCACCTCTCTCTTCACCTCTCTCTTCACCTCTCTCTTCACCTCTCTCTTCACTCTCTCTCTCTCTCTCTCTCTCTCTCTCTCTCTCTCTCTCTCTCTCTCTCTCTCTCCTCTCTCTCTCTCTCTCTCTCTCTCCTCTCTCTCTCTCTCTCTCTCCCATCCTCTCACTCTCTCTCTCTCTCTCTCCTCTCTCTCTCTTCTCTCTCTCTCTCTCTCTCTCTCTCTCTCTCTCTCTCTCTCTCTCTCTCTCTCTCTCGTCCTCTCACTCTCATTACATATGTCCCTCATATAGATTTCAAACCTAGCAAACTAACCAGCAGATAGTCTTTAAACCTACTAGCCCTCATTGTACTTAACCATACATTTCCCCCTCCCCCAGCATACTCATCCATACTACCATTTATGATGGTGGTAGCGAGGCAGTTAGGCATCCCAGTGGCCACCCAGGGCATAATAACCTCTGTTATCATTGTGACTTCCATGGTCTTCAAGCCGGCCATCTCGGCCCTAGCGGACAGCCTACCAGCCTACCGCAAGTCCATCTTCATAGGCCTACTGGCGGCTATGGTGCTGGGGTTGGGGCCCATTGGAATGATATCACCACTGATTGGTCCTTCAAATCGTACCGGGTTGCTGGTCCTGCGAAGCGAATCCACAACTGATCCTTTGAACTGGATCCCTGGATATCAGGTCCCAGCAGGAAAGAACCAGAGTGCGGTGTCTTTCCTCACCCCTGATACTGGTAGGTTATCACTGATATCTCTTCTCACTATGTGTAGAGCTTTATTAAGTTTCACACTGTGTAGAACTTTATAAATCATGTTTCATTGTGTAAAGCTTTATTAAGCCTTGTTTCACTCTGTGTACAGCTTAATCAAGTCATGTTTCATTGCAAGGTGAAAATGAGATATGTTCTATGCCCTAAAATGACTCTAAGCTACACTTCCCATGTCCGGTCTTTCCCCATGTCCTAATTCCAGCTCTATTTCTTCCACAGGGGAGTGCTATGTATCCAGTGCTTGGGACTGCATAGCTGTATGTCCTAATGGAGACCCATGTCCAATTGCGTACATATCCACCATTGGGGCCACTCTCACCCATGTCCCAGTGGGAGAGAAGGATATTCCTGAGAAGTACATGTCCAGGGAGCAGGTGTCAGACGTGTCCAGTGGACATGTGAGAGGGATACATGTCCAACGAAGAGGTGGAAATGGATTCAGTGGACAAGGGGATCGAAACGAAGATGAAGTATGTCCAAACACGTCCAGATATGCTGGTTGATCAGAGTGTAGACGGACCATTAACAATCCCATCCATCCCGACACCAGAGGATTTGTTAACCAGGAATGTACCATTAATGAATCAGTCTGTCCTGACACCAAAGGATTCATTAACCATCAACAGACCATTAACGAACCCATCTGTACTGATACCAGATGATTCATTAACCAGCAACAGCAATGGACCTTTAGCGAACCAGTCCATTCTGACACTAGAGGATTCGCTAATCAGGAATGGATCATTAACGAACCCATCTGCTCTGACACCTCACAGGACCAGCAAAGTCATCTGGACCAGCTGGACCATTCACACAGTTGAAGGCCTCAGACCACAAACCATTGAACCACTAAACATAAGGTAAGTACAGTGGAACTCGCGTGTTTGAACTTAATTGGTTCCTAGGTGGTGGTCGAATTGTGAAAAGTTCAGTGTCTAAAACAGGCTTTAATTATCAGCCTCACACACTAAGAGAAAGTTCAACTGACTCTTTCAAAAGTCTCTGAGAGTTAAGTCAGTGTCAGAGGTCAACTCAAAACACTTTTGAAACAGAGCTTTCCTATAAAGTTTTTTGCAACTGAATTTTGAACAAGTAAGTGCATTCAGACTCCAGAAAAACGTTCAAAAACCAGGTCAATTTTTTCTGAACAAAATTGTTTGGACTCCGGTTTGTCTGAGGTCTGGTACGTTCAAACACCTGGGTTCCACTGTGTGTCTGTGTATATACGTATGTATGTCGTGTTGAATAGGTAAAACTTGCGATTTTGGCTTAAATGGCAATGCTCTTCTTACCGAGTAAAGCAAGCGAAAATTTGTGTATGCAACAGCTTCGGGTCAGATTTGGCTTTTGCTGCTTATGTCACTTGCATATTGCCTTTGGGCCTCCCTTCTTACCTGTGCATATTCATTTCTGGCTCTACGACTTCTCTCCTTATTCTCCTGGGACCTTTGCCTTCTAAACTTGTGTATGCAATAATTTCGCGAAAGTCATTCTGAACCTAATGAAAAAAAATATGTTTCATTGTGTTTATTTTTTTTTCTTTGTAAATTTATCTAAAATATATTTAATTTGGGTTTGGCTAAATTAAATTGCGTTTGTTATACTAAGGTTAGGTAATTTTTTTAAGGTTCTTTTGGTATAAAATTTTAAATTTTTGCATTAATATAAATAAATATATCCTTAAAAGCATAAGAGAAAATTTTAGAAAGGACTTAAATTTAATGAGTTCTTGCTTAGTGACCAGTTTTACCTATTCGACACGACATTAATATATATATATTTATATATATATATTATATATATATATATATATATATATATATATATATATATATATATATAAATATATATATATATATATATATATATATATAGGTAGTAGGTTGGTAGACAGCAACCACCCAGGGAAGTACTACCGTCCTGCCAGATGACTGTGAAACAAAAACCTGTAATTGTTTTGCATGATGGTAGGATTGCTGGTTTCTTTTTCTGTCTCATAAAAAACGCTAAGATAACAGGGATATCTTGCTACTCCTACTAACACTTTGGTCACACTTCACAGACACGCACATGCATATATATATACATACATCTAGGTTTTTCTCCTTTTTCTAAATAGCTCTTGTTCTTTTTTTATTTCTTCTATTGTCCATGGGGAAGTGGAAAAGAATCTTTCCTCCGTAAGCCATGCGTGTCGTATGAGGCGACTAAAATGCCGGGAGCAATGGGCTGGTAACCCTTCTCCTGTATACAATTACTAAAAAAGAGAAGAAGAAAAACTTTATAAAACTGGGTTGCTTAAATGTGCGTGGATGTAGTGCGGATGACAAGAAACAGATGATTGCTGATGTTATGAATGAAAAGAAGTTGGATGTCCTGGCCCTAAGCAAAAACAAAGCTGAAGGGGGTAGGAGAGTTTCAGTGGGGGGAAATAAATGGGATAAATCTGGAGTATCTGAGAGAGTTAGAGCAAAGGAAGGGTAGCAGTAATGTTAAATGATCAGTTATGGAAGGAGAAAAGAGAATATGAATGTGTAAATTCAAGAATTATGTGGATTAAAGTAAAGGTTGGATGCGAGAAGTGGGTCATAATAAGCGTGTATGCACCTGGAGAAGAGAGGAATGCAGAGGAGAGAGAGAGATTTTGGGAGATGTTAAGTAAATGTATAGGAGCCTTTGAACCAAGTGAGAGAGTAATTGTGGTAGGGGACTTGAATGCTAAAGTAGGAGAAACTTTTAGAGAGGGTGTGGTAGGTAAGTTTGGGGTGCCAGGTGTAAATGATAATGGGAGCCCTTTGATTGAACTTTGTATAGAAAGGGGTTTTAGTTATAGGTAATACATATTTTAAGAAAAAGAGGATAAATAAGTATACACGATATGATGTAGGGCGAAATGACAGTATTTGTTGGATTATGTATTGGTAGATAAAAGACTGTTGAGTAGACTTTAGGATGTACATGTTTATAGAGGGGCCACAGATATATCAGATCACTTTCTAGTTGTAGCTACACTGAGAGTAAAAGGTAGATGGGGTACAAGGAGAATAGAAGCATCAGGGAAGAGAGAGGTGAAGGTTTATAAACTAAAAGAGGAGGCAGTTAGGGTAAGATATAAACAGCTATTGGAGGATAGATGGGCTAATGAGAGCATAGGCAATGGGTCGAAGAGGTATGGGGTAGGTTTAAAAATGTAGTGTTAAGTGTTCAGCAGAAGTTTGTGGTTACAGGAAAGTGGGTGCAGGAGGGAAGAGGAGCGATTGGTGGAATGATGATGTAAAGAGAGTAGTAAGGGAGAAAAAGTTAGCATATGAGAAGTTTTTACAAAGTAAAAAGTGATGCAAGGAGGGAAGAGTATATGGAGAAAAAGAGAGAGGTTAAGAGAGTGGTGAAGCAATGTAAAAAGAGAGCAAATGAGAGAGGGGGTGAGATGTTATCAACAAATTTTGTTGAAAATAAGAAAAAGTTTTGGAGTGAGATTAACAAGTTAAGAAAGCCTAGAGAACAAATGGATTTGTCAGTTAAAAATAGGAGAGGAGGTTATTAAATGGAGAGTTAGAGGTATTGGGAAGATGGAAGGAATATTTTGAGGAATTGTTAAATGTTGATGAAGATAGGGAAGCTGTGATTTCGTGTATAGGGCAAGAAGGAATAACATCTTGTAGGAGTGAGGAAGAGCCAGTTGTGAGTGTGGGGGAAGTTCGTGAGCAGTAGGTAAAATGAAAGGGGTAAGGCAGCCGGGATTGATGGGATAAAGATAGAAATGTTAAAAGCAGGTGGGGATATAGTTTTGGAGTGGTTGGTGCAATTGTTTAATAAATGTATGGAAGGGGGTAAGGTACCTAGGGATTGGCAGAGAGCATGCATAGTTCCTTTGTATAAAGGCAAAGGGGATAAAAGAGAGTGCAAAAATTATAGGGGGATAAGTCTGTTGAGTGTACCTGGTAAAGTGTATGGTAGAGTTATAATTGAAAGAATTAAGAGTAAGAGGGAGAATAGGATAGCAGATGAACAAGGAGGCTTTTAGGAAAGGTAGGGGTGGGGTGGACCAGGTGTTTACAGTGAAACATATAAGTGACAGTATTTAGATAAGGCTAAAGAGGTCTTTGTGGCATTTATGGATTTGGAAAAGGCGTATGACAGGGTGGATAGGGGGGCAATGTGGCAGATGTTGCAAGTGTATGGTGTAGGAGGTAGGTTACTGAAAGCAGTGAAGAGTTTTTACGAGGATAGTGAGGCTCAAGTTAGAGTATGTAGGAAAGAGGGAAATTTTTTCCCAGTAAAAGTAGGCCTTAGACAAGGATGTGTGATGTCACCGTGGTTGTTTAATATATTTATAGATGGGGTTGTAAGAGAAGTAAAATGCGAGGGTCTTGGCAAGAGGCGTGGAGTTAAAAGATAAAGAATCACACACAAAGTGGGAGTTGTCACAGCTGCTCTTTGCTGATGACACTGTGCTCTTGGGAGATTCTGAAGAGAAGTTGCAGAGATTGGTGGATGAATTTGGTAGGGTGTGCAAAAGAAGAAAATTAAAGGTGAATACAGGAAAGAGTAAGGTTATGAGGATAACAAAAAGATTAGGTGATGAAAGATTGAATATCAGATTGGAGGGAGAGAGTATGGAGGAGGTGAACGTATTCAGAATATTTTGGGGGTGGACGTGTCAGCGGATGGGTCTATGAAAGATGAGGTGAATCATAGAATTGATGAGGAAAAAGAGTGAGTGGTGCACTTAGGAGTCTGTGGAGACAAAGAACTTTGTCCTTGGAGGCAAAGAGGGGAATGTATGAGAGTATAGTTTTACCAACGCTCTTATATGGGTGTGAAGCGTGGTGATGAATGTTGCAGCGAGGAGAAGGCTGGAGGCAGTGGAGATGTCATGTCTGAGGGCAAAAGTGTGGTGTGAATATAATGCAGAGAATTCGTAGTTTGGAAGTTAGGAGGAGGTGCGGGATTACCAAAACTGTTGTCCAGAGGGCTGAGGAAGGGTTGTTGAGGTGGGTTCGGACATGTAGAGAGAAATGGAGCGAAACAGAATGACTTCAAGAGTGTATCAGTCTGTAGTGGAAGGAAGGCGGGGTAGGGGTCGGCCTAGGAAGGGTTGGAGGGAGGGGGTAAAGGAGGTTTTGTGTGCGAGGGCTTGGACTTCCAGCAGGCATGCTTGAGCGTGTTTGATAGGAGTGAATGGAGACAAATGGTTTTTAATACTTGACGTGCTGTTGGAGTGTGAGCAAAGTAACATTTATGAAGGGATTCAGGGAAACCGGCAGGCCGGACTTGAGTCCTGGAGATGGGAAGTACAGTGCCTGCACTCTGAAGGAGGGGTGTTAATGTTGCAGTTTAAAAACTGTAGTGTAAAGCACCCTTCTGGCAAGACAGTGATGGAGTGAATGATGGTGAAAGTTTTTCTTTTTCGGGCCACCCTGCCTTGGTGGGAATCGGCCGGTGTGATAATAAAAAAAATATATATATATATATATATATATATATATATATATATATATATATAATGTCGTGCAGAATAGGTAAAACTGGTCAATTAGCAATTAATGTCAATGTAAAAATTTATAATTTTGCATCAAAAGAATCTTAGAAAACTTATCTAACCTTATTATAACAAGAACAACTTATTTTAGCCTAACCCAACTAAATATATTTTAGATTTGTTTACAATAATTTCATACTGAGCAAATACAGTGAAATATATTTTTTTTGTTAGGTTCAGAAAGATTTTGGCGAAATTATTGCATACACAAATTTTCACTTGTCCTATATGGGAAGATGACGTTGCTAAATTTTAAACCAAGATAGCAAGTTCTGCCTATTCGGCACGTATTTTATATAATATTATATATATATATAGTATAAAGTAGGAATTTTTTTTCCCCTGAGGGGACCGGTTTAGGGCCTTCCACTGAGCGGGTTGGGTTT